CTGGCTTCACCTGATTGGCTCCCAGCCAGCAGAGAGGTTTTAAGAATTAAGTTCACAAACTAGATAAACCAAATTTAGCTGTGTCATTAATTCCTGGTCATGTCTGTTTCTTACATGAAAGCAGCACTTTGCCTGTCTCCTGTTTGTTGAGGTGCATTTATTCACTCTACAGCCTGTTGTTTCTTGAAAACACCAATGGCTCAAACAGTTGAGCTTCAACATCTCTGAACTTTAGTGTATATAGAGAAAAGAAGAAGAAATTAAAGATATTTACAGATCAGTAAACATAAATATATGTTATTAAAATGGCTTTAATTAAAAAAAAAATCCTTAAGATACTTCAATATTTCTTTTTCATTTCACTCCCATTCTTCCACTTTGTTTGGAATCTAAAGCAGGAGTTTTCCAAGGCTGCTCTCAGGTAAGAGGCTGTGTGTTACAACATGTATGTTTGTCCCTTTTCTTGTATCCTTGCAAGCAGGAGCAATGCAACATCCTTATGTGCCCCTGAGAACTGGAAATGAATGAGTGTTACGGCCTTGGCAGACCTTCCATGTAGCTCAAGGAAGTGAGTATGTCTTGGAAACCTAGAACAAAATCTATTTTTTCCTTCTTCCCTCGCAGATCTTATTTACCCTCCAAACTGCCTTTCTCCTTTACACCGCGAAAGAAACAACGTCCTCTTATAATCATTACCAAGTCAACGTTTGTTCCTCAGCACTTTCTCTTCTCATGCAGCTGTAATAAATTGGGGAGCCGTGGAGGATTTTGACATTTTCCAACAGTAAAGGTGGCGCGTCATGTAAATAACTGAAATCATTTAGAAATCGAGGAAGCTCCTTATTATGCTTCTCTGCATCCTCGCAGTGAGTCTTTGTTTGGTCCGTGGGCTTTGTTGTGATCATTGGCTTCATCGGACACTCCAGTGATGGTGTGGATGTATGGTATGACTGATTATTCTTATATATAAAGACCACTTTCCTGCCTGACAATTAATCTACCTTTATTTTACTGACCTGTTTAAAATCACACTATTAAAAAAAAAAAAAAAAAAAAAAAAAATCCTCCATATAAAAACTCTTGACTGTCAGTATGTGCTGTTGTGTCGTTTATTAAATGATTATTTTTGCAAATAACTTAGGATGTTTTTAACTGGATAAAATGTATGTTTTTAAGCCACAAATTGTAAACATTTGATGCTTTAAAATATATTCAACTATTTTTTTTTTGAGTTTGTGAAATGTGATGTTCATTTAAACAGAAATCATTGATCCATGAATTGCATACTGCAATACATTTAATTGTTTGGTGCTTAAAAAAAAGACTTTGGCATTATTTTACACTCATGCATTTGGATTGCATTATACTTCTGCAAACTAAATGCATATTGTGTTGTGATCTGACACCTTAATGTAAAATGCATCCAGAGATTAAGTTAAAGTTGGTTAATTTGAGAAATATTCATCAATAGTTTCATCTTAAATAGCATACTTGTTATATCATGTGTCTTAAATTATGATGCAAGATCAGACTCAAGTCTAAAATGATTTAATTTATGATTTATCGTTAAAGTTATCCGTTTTGTTGTAGGGCTACATTCAGTTATTTGACAGACAGTAAAGCCCATCTGTCTCCATTTGTTGACATTTTTAAAGTTGACTCAATTTGTTTGAAGACTTGCAGAAGTTATTTGTGGTTTGCCATCGAATCAGACAGAAATCATGGAAAATTGCGATTCCATGATTTCTGACTATTTTGTTTGATAAATTGTTGCAGAGGAGACACATCCTTAAATTCAGCAGTGTTTGTTTCTTTACTCTAAAGACCAGTGATAAAATGAGCATGAATATTTTGAAACAGTCCTGGTCTGTTCAGTCTAGGATGGATGCAGTTGCAACTTTTATTCCGATTATCATTGAATGTTCTTTCCTTGATTTGTATTGCACAAATGTTTCCTACGAAGCAAAAAAATAAAAAATAAAAACTAAAAAACTGCTAGACATGAAAGTCTACATTAAATTCCCTAAGCACAAACCTACATGGCTAGTTCCCCTGGGGTCTGGGGCCGTTCACTCCCTGATAAATGTCAGGCTTTCTCCTCCTATAGATACCAGTGGTTATTTGGGTTTATTTCTCCAATCTCGTTGTTCACCTCAGAACAGAGATGGAATCCATTTCTGTCTGCTTGGCAGTGAGGTAGACTGTAGGACAAGGTAATTTGGCTGGCTGGCACCCTCTTGTATCTCTCTGTCTGAGCTGCTGAGCAATCTCGGGGCTTATTTCTCAAGTTTACCTCGAACAAACAAGTGAGCAAAGGCACAAAAACTCCCAGTTCTCTGTACAGAGTGGCATAAACTGGTCTAAGGCTGTCAACACGCTCTGACTGGTTGCTGGGTTTGCTATTGGTTTTAAGAATCAACTGTGCAAGTGGAAAAAGGACAAAGATGTTTATTATTATTATTTTTTTTTTTTGCATCAACATGATCAACATCTTGGACAGTTTGGGCATAATTCAAGAGTAATACAAATACTAATTCCTTCAGGAAAGTGTGTCCAACTGAATTTATTGTTCTCCTTTAAAATGGAGAACAAAAACCCCAGACAAAGTATTTACTGTCCCAGTGGTTTAAAGAGGAGTGTAGTGTCCAAGCACAAACATATCAGTAGAAAAACAATGGAAGTAAAAAAATCACAAGGAAGCACATTTTGGAATGAGTTAAAAAAAAAAAAGCAAAGGTATGTCAGGTTAAGAGTGAAATCAGAGCATCAGGTTTTCTTTTCAGCAAAAACGTTTGGCTTCAAATGTGCTGAAGTCCTTGGGGAGCTGGTCTGATTTATGATTCAAAGGGGAAAGTTTATCAAACCATTGAGATTGTTGTTACAGATGCAACCGAGCGCATAACAAAGGAAGCATTATTGTCCAAGAATGCCGAGTTGTTCACATATGCAAGCTGACAGTAAGGCGGCATGTGGCTCCACGGCTCTGCCCTTACATACATTCAAATAAATCCTCCTTTGTCATAAAGAGTTTATGCAGAATTTACATAAACTCATTTTTAATGTTACAAGCACTTTAGGTAATGAGTGTGACTGCAGACATGAGCAGATATTTAAATTCATACGGGCAATTTAGCACAAGGCCGGTCAACCAACTTGGCCGCCGAGAGTAAACCGAAAGTGACAAGATTGTAGGAGATAATAAAAACAAATGGAGAGAATCTCTGTGATAGTTGGAACAGTTAGTGGAGCTGAAAAATGTCAAGTTTTCTTCTGAAGAGCTGCACACTGTGCAGTTTGGCTGAAGTGGGGGATAAAAGGAATAATGTCCTGAGATTCCACATATTATCATTTGGGAATAAAAAGAAAAGAGCACATTGTAGAAGCACCGCTGGTATTATTACCTGGAAAAGAAAAAGGAAATGACTGCTTTAAGCATTAAGATTGTGTAACTGCTGTTTCCCAGGTAAAAAAAAAAGGCACTTTTGGCCCAAGAACATGTGGAATGGTCATTTGGAGCAATGAAATCAGACTCTCGGCTGAGCTTAAAACTACAGTGAGGTTTCCCCAGAGGTTCCTTCTGGTACTTGATGAGCGTGCAAAGTTATTAAGAAGTTAGAAGACATATAAAAAGGAAATAGTTAAAAAAATAAAAGCATTATAAAGGCAGAGAAGGTGATGTCAGTGAGCTAGCAGTGATAATGGAGAGATCAACGCTGAGCTGTGGTCCACACCTTTAATGGGGACACTGCAGACTTCGCTCGCTGTCAGAGTGTAAGGCACCCTTCACTGAACGCGTCAGGAAGAGGAGAGCTCACAGGTCAGTGGTGATGACAGGCGTGACCCCATGGATGAGCAGAGTGGGTCCTAAATCCTGAGTAAGCAGGTCCAGCTGGTGTAAGTATGTGGCGTACCGCCGGGTGTCGGCTGGGGGGCGGGGCAGATACAGGAAACGCACGGCAGGGGGTGGCATGGCCTGATCCAGGATCAGCTTGTTGACAGCCGTGAGGTAGTCATCGGAGACGCGCGTGGCGTTGCTCGGGAAGCTGTTGGCGTAATCTTCTTCGCTCTCCTCCTCGATGGCTCTGGCCTCCATCTCCTCAGCGGTCGAGTCTGGAGACTTGGACGTCAGGTTCTTGTTGAATCCACTTTGCCGCTGCCAGTGTAGCACCACCACATGGTCCCAGGGTACGATTTCCACCTGAGCTTTAATTCTCAGATCTTTAAGGAGCTGACCAAGCTTGGCCTCCAGGCCCCTGACGCTTCGCCCCTCCTCCACGCACAGAAAGAGTCGCAGAGTAGCTTTGCGCCAGGCTTTCACCATGTTGAGGATGCATGCTAGCTGCAGCAGGAACAGTGAGCAGGTGTCGACGTAACTGCAGCTGTCCGGGCGCAGGAGGTTTACTGGCCAAACATCAACAAACACTTCTCCTTTTGACAGGATGGAGGGAGGCGTAAGGATCCGAGCTTTATCAAAGTCATTGAAATATCGAGCAAGAACCACATTCTTGAGCATCTTCATGGCATCAGAAATAACAGAGACGTACTCCTGGGCGCCTAAAACCTTCCCATCCCCAAATTCGCCATAATCTTGCCTGTCACTGGACCCCCGCAGGGAGGCAAAGCGATGCAGAGGGGGCTGCTCGAGGTCCTGAGAAGGACTGAAGGGATCTGTGGACTGGGTGGAAGACACCGACGACTCAATCAGCTTATCTTTTGGAAGACAGTCGTCATAGAAACCGAGGACCAAGGTGTTGGGACGCATCCCGCCTGCAAGAACAGGAGCAACAAGGAGAAACTAAACAATCAAATCGACTAGAAAAAGACATCATAATTATTCATCATGGCAGAATGCGAAACTAAGTCAGTCAATAACTTTAAACTCTCACACGACACAAACATGATGTGCAGCTGCAGCTACACACGGCGACACTGGCAGCAGTACTGACCAAGTCCTGAGATGAAGAGTAGATGCTGGACGCCATGACGGACAGAATCTGCCAGAGTCAGGTTGACAAAAGCTTTGATGTTCAGATGGTCTACCAGGGACAGCCAGGACTCATACTGAGCCTGCAAGGGGTCAGATGGTAAAGTGCCTGAACGAGAGAAAAACACACCAAAAAAACGGACATGTGAGAATCAGGTACGACAGTGAGGAGAGGAAAGGACAAGGTTTGTGTAAGTTTCAGTAACTTAAATGTAAAACAACTTAAAGAGCATACTGAGTTACACAACACTGGTACCGGCTGATGTTAGGGTTAGGGTTACCACATCTGTGTAAGTCAAATAAATGAAACTGGGCTGATAATAACATGTTTATTTATTTCCACCTTGTTGATGTTTGTTTCTGGAGACGGAAGGGAGAAAGTCTGATCATGTGGCAGTGGTAGCGATGCAGCGCAGGACTGTGGGGAGTTTGACTGAAGCAGAGAAGTGGAGCAGAAGTGAAGTGAAATATATATATAATTAATATTAGTAAATATCAGTTATAAATAGCAATATCAATACTGGATATCCATATTGGTCCAAATTTTCTTTGCTAATTCTAGACCTCATGGAAATGATAAAAAAAATCCTTGTGAACTCAAGTAACTTACCAAATGAATATCTAAAACAATATATATTCAACATCTCATTAACTAAAGATTGTGTTTTATCTCAGACATATATATCTTTTTAAATTATTAGGTCAAAAAGCTTGCTCGACATAAAGGGCTCATACAGTAGATGAACTTCAGAAGTAGTTTGAAATGTTGATGTTACGTCCTCTTTTTTTTTTGTTTGCAAGAAGGTGCATTTGCAGTACTTTTAGCAGAGAAGTGCTTTTTTCCACTTCACATTAGTAATTGCCTTACATTTTCATCTTTTGCTTACTTTGCAGCTAGATATTTTTACAGAAGGATGACCAGTTAATCTTACATACATACATGTTTATTTATTAGAGTTTATAAAAGCAGATGGATGAAACAAAATGTTTCCAGATCTGAATAAAATATAGATTTCTAGTGTGTATTAACCAAATAAACCCGAAGGTACCGGGATAGGAAGTGAAAAACTCCATAGCGGACATAAAATATGAGGCAGAGGGAGACGAAGATGTGAGACAAGATGTTGAGGGAGGGAAGAAAGAGAGACAAAGATCCAACTCCAGATGACGGCGCAGACAGAATGTTGGACAGAGCAAAGATGCAGAGAGACACAACAGGGAGGTGGGTAATCCATCACTCCCAAAAAAGCAAGTGTAGGTGCTTGGGAAAATTTCAAAGCCAGTGTCTTTGGGACTCTTAATGTGATTGTTGCAAATTATAGGTAAGTACTCTTCTCAGGTTTACACTAAATAGCTGCTAGACAAACTGAATAAACAGATTGTACAATTTTCCAGGAGTGTAATGAGAATGTCGGAACAAGAAATTCCTCTTTCCTGTTATTGCCTAAATGAATGGATTCATCAGAAGTGGTTCATCAGAACCAGACAAGGGCTCTTTTGTGGCAAATTAACATTTTGAACATCTTTTCCCGCTAACCAATACTTAAGAGAATTCAGATTGAGAAGATTTCATTCAGAGCGGCTTCCTTCTTCCCCTCTGCTCTACCCACAAACCCCTTACAAGTTCTCCAAAGACAAAGAAAAGGTCCAACAATGACCCTGCTACTTGAAATAATTCAGAACACTGCCGTCATGTGAGAGAAAGACGATTCTCCAGTGGTTCTCCAGTACATACAGCTCTCACAATAAGACAGTAGAGGGTCAGTCAATGTCATGAAGAAGCAGCAAGTATTCTAGTCAACGGTGTGTGATGAAAGGTGTGAAACTCTGCAATCCTTTTATTCAGAAATGCCACACACAGCTTAAAGGTGAGCTATTGTGCTTCCTTGAACAGGTTAGGATCGGTCTATGTGCTATGCAAAACATGTTCATTACATTTTCTGCATAAATTCATTTTTAGATAATGAGATGTCAGTCTCAGTTTTGCCTCTTGCTAGAATGAGCCGTTTTAGGATCTCTTGTCATTTTAAATCCAAATAAGCTGTTGCTGGCTACTCCCCCCCCATCTCAACGTTTACACTCGCGCATGAAATGGTTGCAAACAGATGGGCAATTATACATCTGAACATCTTTGAAAAGCATTAGTAGAGCTTCCTTCACAACCAACAAGAATGCAGCAAGTGGTTTGTGGATGATAAGTCAACAAAAAAAAAAAAAACAGTTGCCTTTTCCACCAGCCATTGTACAGCACATACAGCAGTAAAATCAGCTAATCAAACTTGTAGGAGCTCCACTTGGGTTGCTAGGTGATGGGCTCTTCTTCGGTGGGGTTGGTAAGTGAGGAGCAGTGTCTGTTCATTTGTGACGTTACATTCCAGAGGTTTTTGAAACAGACACCAAAAAACATCAACTTACTGTTAAAAACCAGCTGGGTGTTTTTTTTTTTTAAGCACCTGGGTTTGTTTGAGAAGCAGTAGTAACCCAAATGGAAGTACAAAGACATACAAAATGTGAATTTTACATAATATGTCCCGTTTAAATAGTCTTTACTTTGTTTAAGTCTGCTTTTCTCAGAGCAGAAAGTAGAAGTAGCTGGGGCATTTACTTACTGAGGTCTCCTAGCTGGACATGTCCCAGCACGTAGAGGCCACTCTTCTTGATGTCATTGATAAACGTGATGAGGCCCACGCTGCTGCGAGGGTTGGAAACCATGAGGAGGATCTGAGGTCTCCAGAACTTGATGTGGTCTTTCCTGACATCCAGCATTAGGAGGTATTTTCGTACCTGCAGCAGGAAAAAATGGGTTAGAAAATGATTTTTATCTCAACCAGCGTAATCCTAAATAATTAAATAAGTTAAGTGGTTTCAATCAAGGAGTTACTAAGCATATTGCATATGGTCATTGAATGACGTGTGCTTGGCTAATGATAATGATAGATAACTAGTGACTGATTTGTCAGTCATACGCATACAATTATTTTTATTTCCCATTTCAACATCTGTCTAATGCATGTCTAGTCTCTCTTGTATTTGTATTTGGTGTAAACACATTTTTTATTCAGCTAATATTTTTTTGCAGTTATGCGTTTTATTTTGGTAAAACATATTCAGAAATTTTACATGCGAGTCAAAGCCCTGGGAGAAGATATACGAGTCTCTTTAGCACCTTTTAACCTTTTACAAAGACTAAATTTATAAAAACCCACAGGTCCAGTTCAACATGAATTTGAAATAGCTGGAAGTTCAAAAAGCAGTAAGTGGCCCAGTTAGTCAAAAAATAAAACAAAACAAACAAAAAAAAACTAACAAATGTTAATGGATAATATGTTAAAATTTGTGATGTGACAAATCTAAGACAGAATGTCATGTAAGTATACATTTCTGAAAAAAGAACAACAAAAACTGAAATATAAAACTTTACTATACATCACTTTATCATTAAGCTTTTAGTATTTAGAAAATTACAGATGTCAAAAAGTTCAGACTAATCCAGACATGGAAAATGGCCAAATAATCTACTTTTCCAAACTATATGAACTCTGATCAGGATGCTTAATTTTGGAGGAGAATCAATTAACTATTTAGGAACTATATCCATGTGGGATTAAATACTAAAACCAAAATCTAAAATGAATTTATGCCAATCTTGGGAAGCCTGTTGCTTTATTTGAAGCTGCATTATAAAAGAGTGACTCTGGGAGAAAAGTCCAGCTGAATGAGAATTTGATCCTACTAGGGACTTCTGACCCTTTTGAGTGCTGCTAATAAAACCTGAAGTTACTGGAAAATTGTGGAGAGTTTCATTTCTCAGAAGAAACCAGCAGAGAGGTGATGTGAACAAAGACAACTTGGGATGAGTCATCCAGTTATCTCGCATTTTAGATGAGTGGGACGGGGAGACAGCCTCAAGTCCTTCCCGCCAATTAAAGAGCTCAAACTTTTTTGGCCGGAGGAAACCTCTACACAGGAAGTACACCACGTGAAAGGGAAGAAAAAAAAACACTTGAAAATGATTTTATTATGGAAACACATTCAGGGTATGTTTTATTGGCTTGTGGTGGTGCTGGAACTTTGTAAAAAAAAAAAAAAATGTTTTTGAGCTGAAGCTTCAATTTAGGATTCAGCCTGAAAAAACAGACAAGAAATCATTCCGATAATGTCTAAGCAATGCAAGTTCAGCTCAATCTCCTGAAACTGCAAGTTAATGTGTGTCCACGTGACTATCAATCAAAAACCAAGATACAAACACCATTATTACTATCATAATCTCCCCAACTGTAAAAGACAAAAAGACAAGGTCCCAGAAGCAAAGTCTGACTGTCTCCACTAAGCTAATCATCTGTCTCCCTTTATCTCTGTTTCCCTGTCTTCTCATCCATCAGACTATCATCATTTCACTGCTGCTTCTATCTCATCCATCACTTAGTTTTTCAATCATTCATCCCCTGCTTATATTCTGCTCCCACCTTCTCTCCCTGTGATACAATCAGCACTTCTTGCCTCCGTTTTGTCTTTTTATTCTCTCCTAAAAACAGCTGTCGACCGCCTACTATCTAGTTGCCTTTCTTTGTTGTTATGTACTAATGTGCTTTTCATCCCCGTCTCAATGTCACACCGCTGGCACTCCCATACACCGGCTACTGCTGGAGGGTGCAACTGTATGCATGTGGCACAGTATACGTGCACAGATGGGGTCTTTAGCTCAGCCTATCATTTGTATTATTTTTATCAAAATGGGCTTCTTGCTAGAGGCGGGTTTAGAACCCACTTCCACTGAATGATGAGAAGTGGGGGCGGTGAAATGAGAAGGCCCATTTGTAAAATGAATATAAGAAGATGTTAAGACGTACATTTAAAGTTCATAGAAATGATTAATTACCTAACAAGCACATTAGACCCAATACAGGAGCCATATTTACGTTGTGTAGTCAGGGTGCTAAATGAATGCCACATAATGTAGCTTATCTCAACATGCCTTAAAACAGCTAATAACTGCTATTTGTTACTGTCTGCGGGTTGAGACCAACACTGACCAGAAAACTGGTGTCTTTTAATACCGAGGTTTTGGTCGAGTGGAGCCAGGATATGAAGGAGGGGTCTTTGAAGTTCATAAGGAACTTCACAGTTTCCACTTATGATCAATAATTTATTGCCTGTTGATAAAAGTGGCTGCCCATCCTGAATTTGGTTTGGTTTGAGATTTCTCCCTAATAAAGTTATTCCTCTTTAATGACTTGCTGACCTTTCCTCCCGAATGGGGGGAATAGTATTGAAATTAAGGTTTGAATCCAAAGTTTCCTTTGGAATTTTTTTATTTTTTATTTTTATCAGAGATGTACTAAATCAAAGGTCATCCAGTGATAAAAACAGAATCATTTTTAGCTTGGTTGATTGGTTGGAAACCCAAATATTAGATACTTTCTAATTAGTAAAGACAATCCATCAAAATTAAACCTGGGCTGCTACTAACAATTATTTTAGTAATTACTCTATCAATTATTCTGGCAATTAATCTAAAAAAACAAATATTGGCACATTAAGAAGAATTTTAATTTAACCCATTAGCCTTTGTTCATACAATATTAGAAATAAATTAAAAGATTCAAATAAATGATTAAATTCCTATAAAAAAAAACAAACAGTTCATTTTATAGACATGGTATTACTATTTTGCATGTTTGATTGTAGCAAACGATGCATCTGCAGCTAAATAAAATACTTCTAATCAATATATAAAAAGTTCTCTTAAAACAGCTTCACGGCCAGGAGTCTAATTTTACTACATTCAATACGACCCATTAAACTGCTCAGCTGCTGCTGTTACATGGTGGCAAAAAGACGTCCGTCTTTGTCTTGTCTGCATGTCTGAAGCCATGCAGGTGGTCAAACAGACAGCTCTGCCTGACTGTGTGATTTTATAGAATACCAAAAACAAAAGGAGCGTGAGCAGCTTTGTATGAACAGCACACGATTTTGTCATGTTTTGTTTTGATTGAACTGATTCCATGTGGACAAATGTTCCATTTACAGTGGGAGCAACAATCAAACACGGAGATCCCAATCAGAGGTCAGAGTTAAAGTCTGCACACTGATTTGTTCCATTAATCAAGAGGAAACTAGTTTTTCTTTACTGCCACCACCTATGATCCATACAATCACTGTTCTCCATTGTTACTCCAAGGTATATGTTAACTCTACTTCAAGCTTGTTTAAAATCCACAATAAACAGAAAAAAAAAATGTTTCTTAGATTCTCAAAGAACAAACTGACCGCTTTTCTTCACTTTCTTCTTCTACTGCTCTCCAGTTTTTGTTATTTGTTGCCATTTCGACTGTTAACTTTATATTGTCTGTCAGAAGCTGCACCTGGTCTAATGTTCTGGTTGGCTGTCTTGCTTTTTCTGGAGGAAGGCATCGGCTGAGATAATGCTGCCAACAATTAAACATTCTCCCTCTCCAACTATTTTCATTAACATAGAAAGTTCCCTTCTATCAGTTGTTCTGTTTCTTTTTTGAGCTTTCTGCTCTGTCTTCTGAAACCCCCAGTCGGTTGTGGCAGATGGCAGCTTGCTCTGAGCCAGGTTCTGCTGCGTTTCCTTAATCAGAAAACTTTTTAAAGTAATTTGAAAAACAAACGGAGCTCAATGCGCCGTTTGATAACGAGGATCAATTGGGAATGTATGGGTGGTTCAACTAAACTGAGCTATCTCTGTGGCTACGCTGCCTTTGATTTAAGCTGGTGTCTCCAACCTGCTGCTCTTTGGACCCTCCACAATGACTCTTGTTAAAGAACCAACTAATGAAGCTTTAATAACAAATACATGTTTTAGGAGTTTCTTTTATAGAATACAGTAATTGCAGTTGATTTCCAAAACAGAATGACAATTAAATTACCAGAAACATTTTTCAAGACTTATTTTTAAGAGTCGTTTGGTTGGGATGTATGTGCTTTTTCCATCACTTTCCTCAACATCCCAAAATAAAATGTTTCCATCCCTCTTTGGAAAAGTTTCATATTTTTGAAACATAATAGAAATAAAATAGTTGTTTTTATGCTGACAGAGAACTTACTGAACACTTTTCTCCACTCCCTTGTCATTACTGTCTTTTCTTTCCATTTATATTGTTGTAATTATAAGAATAAAAAATACTTCTGGACCCATGACTTCTGGTTGTGTTTCTCTCAGGTCTGAGCTGGTCAAGGGAAGGGGCTGCTAATGCTAACAGAGGTCCTGTTAAAGGTTTCTTCTTGCTTAAAGGTAGTTGTTCTCCTACAGTCTAAATCTAGTTTGATAAGAATTAAAGTGCATGGAAGAAAGAGTCGAAACAATCAAACCTTGAAAACCTTAACTGATTGCTGTCTTACAAGCTGCTAAAGCTGGATATATTGCACCTATACTGAATTATCTGGAGTGAATTTGATTCTGTATTTTAATATGAAGGGGATCTGTGCAACTGATTAAGATGGATTTCACTGTGAAAGACCAGAAATACTGACCAGAAAAATGTAATAAGCCTTAAAAAGTGACTGCACTTTCATGATTTTAATTTATTTCTCTCCATCTATACCTGATAATGAGTAATTTAACATGTATCCATCTATTAAATTTGTTCGGCTGAACAAAGTTTGTTGTTGGGGCTAATGTGTCAACCTTTGGAGGGAGGGGTTGTGAGAAGTACAGAAAAAGAAAATCGTGTTAGGAAAAGCACAATAACTTAAGTAACTGTAATAATGTTCTGTCTCTTGACAAGCTGCTGGAAAACCCAGCCAACTTCCCCCCTCCCTGCCTGTAACCCCCCGCCTGCAGCATTGGCAACGGCTCCCCTCGGCTGCAGGCCCTTCTGACAACATTGGCCCCTCTTCTTGAAAACAGGCAACAGAGGACACGGCGAGCTGAATGATGGAGAGCGTGTGTTTGTGCCATAAATGTAGAGAGCTTTACTGAGGGAATAGATGCAGATGTGTGTGTTTGTGTGTTTTTCCGTCTGGTAAGCCTGATATAAACTTGATAGATGCCGGCTGTAGGAATGACAAGCCTTAATGTGTATGGTAGAGAAAAATAAAAAAAGCATAGGGAGAACGCGTGTGTGTACTTCTGCTAAATGTAAAACGATTGGGAGGGGAAGCAGAGAGCAGTCAGTGCGAGACCGCATGCATGTGCGTGCGTGTGTGTGTGTGTATATACGGGCATCTATAAAACTGATAGAACGATTGCTTGGCAGAGGTACAGGATCGTGTAAAGCGGAGGGGATGAGATTTTAGTTGCTATAGAAATGACAAGCAGTATTGAGAGCATGTCCGCATGAGTATGTGTGTGTGTGTGTGTGTGTGTGTGTGTGTGTGTGTGTGTGTGTGTGTGTGTGTGTGTGTGTTAGTCAGACCTGGGGGAAAATGAGAGCCTCGCTGATGTATCCCCAGCTGGACGTGGGGCTGAGGTAGTGAATCAGCAGGAGGAGGAGCAGCATGAAGGCAATGCTAGCTGAGGCGTAGATGGCGTTGATGAGGAACATCATGATGGCACAACCGACGATGCCCAGTATGCACGTATGCCAGGTGAAGTAACGAAACGTGGGCCTGAGAGGGAAATAAGAGGGATGGAGGTAAATCTCACAGTAGAAGTTGCAGAAAATTGAAAATGAACAAACAGGAGGGTAGAAATGCCAGCCTGTGATATTTGAGAATATCTGCATGAAGAAGAGCACAGTGGGAAAAAAAAAAAACTAAACAAAAAACTTCCATTTTAGAGACTTTTTTCAATACAAAATACCCCAGAGGATATTTATGTCCCTGGTCTCCAAATTAATCCAGGTGTTTTCATTTAGAATTTAATTATTTGATAAGTATGTTTTGGATGAAATTTCAGCAATTCATCTTGTTTTTGTTTCAGACACAGGAATAAGAAGTGAACCATCACTTGCCAGCTGTAATGCACTTTAATATGCTCCCCTTAGTAAATGAGATTTAATTACAGGAACAAACTTTTGTCCTTGTGCTTTATATAGTAATTTCTCAAAAAACAAAAAACATTTTAATTAAATAAAGTAGACGTTTAATGGGACATCTTAAATAGAGGTGCACCAAGACATCAGTCGATGACCGGAGCAAGACAATTTACAGCACGGCCTGTCCTGTTGGGTGAAAGACCTGTTGGACAAATGACCAACATCTTTTGGATGCAGTCGTTTAATTACTAAATATTTTTGTAGATATGCATGACGATGCACATTAAAGCCAAGTAGGTAATATATGAGAGTTGATAGCTGGATGTGGACATAAGGGAAATCAGAGGGGAACTTGTGTGGGCTCCAGACTGTCAATATTTAGACACATTTTGTTACCAGTTTCAGAACTTGGAAATATGGCCTGATGTTTTATTTTAAATTATTTTATTTGTTTTTTTAACTCTCCAAAATATTAGGTGCAAACAACACAAGGGAGCAAATATCTATGAGGAAAGGAGCATCATAGTTTACCCTACAGAAATGTAGCTGTATCATTATTTACCATTAATATATTTTTTTTTTCACATTTAGAAAACTTTTACCCAGGCAGCATAATATTACGGAAACATGAAATTGCAATTTTGTTTAATATCTCAATGAAACGGCCCAGATCAGCTTCACTACTCTTCTCCACATCACGCCAAGCCCCCACAGCTCTTCCTAAGCTTTATGATCTTGGTCGCTAAGAGGTTAGATTCCTTTTTTATTGACTTAGGATCAAAACAAATGTGGCATTAATGCGAAGACAAGATCAATTAAACCCAAAGCGATGCAGATAATTAGCCACTGCTTGTAGCTTTCTTAGCGTTTGTGTGCAGAAGCCTATAATTATGAAAACAAAGCTCTGTTGATCTCACATTCTAGATGGAGGTGTGAGATACACATTGGACAGAAACTGAACATTTTTACTGAATCATGTAATTGACCCCAATTTCCCTGCAGCACCTGAAGGCGTGTAGACGAACGGCGGTAAAAATGGAAGGAGCTTTAATTACACACCTCAACTGAAACATGGTGGGTGCTTCCTCCACAGATCAATACACATTTTTTTAACTAAGAGGCAAAAATGAACAATCAATAAACATGAAACTGAAGCAATGCGTAGCTCTCAGCAGAGAAGAGAGAACACAAAGATGTTAAAATAGTTGGAGCGTGAAGGGATTGACAGATGAGACCAATGAAAACCTGGGTGGATCTGAATTTATAAACCTGAAAATGGATATTTTGAAAGCTCACAGATGGTGAAAGGTAATTTCTTGTAATGGGCTTGAAACAAACTCCCTCTGTAGACCAGACAGTAATTGTACCCCAACATCATCATATTCCAGGCAAGTCCAGATTAAAATATCGGAACAAGGACTGAAGAAGTACTGCAAAGAAAATCCAGTATCGTATGCAGAAACCTTTTATGATAGACACACATTGTGATAAAGCATTGGTTTATAAAATTTAGAAGATTAATGAGAAAGGATGTTCCTCCCTTATGATAAAAAAACAAAAAAACATAGGAGAGTCCACTGGCCTTTTAAGTCATGCTTCAATTGACCAATAAAGTTCAGTGATCACAGAAGGTCATTCAAGGACGTTGTAGTTAAAGTTTCTCAACTGAGATACCCAATGCCAGATGAGGCTGTAGCATCAGGTTACTGTCCAACATCTTGTAAACAACATTCAGCCACAACTGTCCATTAATCAAAGATGAATAATTACATTTACTGACAAATTCGGTTGGTGACAAATGAGACCAAAATAAAATGTGTTTACTTGATCAATCATCCACATCCCTGCTTATGAGGTGAAAGCTGATAAATTTTGTCCAATAGTCTGATGTATGAATCAATTGCACAATACTGGCATTTCCTTTGGGCTCAGTTGTATTTGGTGTTTAGCAGAAATTAAAGACAGTAAATCAAAATGTTAAGGATTGGGGGGAAAACGGCCAATAGCAAATAAGTGCTGCTTTTGGCTCATGGCCTAATTGTCCTGAAGACAATTTGGTCATGTGTGTTTCATTAATAGCCTAAATTAGCTGTACATTAACCTTCATAGGATGACAGCAATGGACAATGGCAATGTCAGAAAAAGTTCAGCAAAGAAATAGTTCTCTCTACCTATATAGTATGTCTTATTTAACATGCAATAAGAATTATAAACATTGACTGGCATTTGATTGCCTTACAGTTCACCTACATGAGCTGGACAATACATCAATTCTCAATAAAGACAAAAATGAGCAACAAGAAAATGGGAAAAGACTGTTTGCCATTTTGAGTAGTATAATATTTCAGGGTCCATGAATTCAAATGCATCTTGCAAATATTGTGTTTGGCCAATCAGATGAACTTTCAATTGTATTTAGGCTCACAATTGATTTGAATCAGAATAAACAAGATAATACATTTCAGAGAGAGAGTGCTTACGGTTAATTGTTGTGATAAAAATGTTGGACAATCACAATCCCCATCATTATTGCAATATTCAGTCATAACTTGGAATTTCATGCTTTCTGAATATGCAACACTGGGAGAAACACTAAGGCATTATTTACTTTCCATTAACATTGTACCTGTTAAAAAAAACTATTTCTAGAATGTATAAAGGAAAACTTTATACAGGGCTTCACTTTGGCAGGAATTTTAGCCCATCCTTCTTTGTTCTGGCTGTTGAACAACAGTCTTGAAACTTTATTTTTATTTCCCCTTGACTTGATCACTTAACACAAGCGTTGGCCACCATTTTCCAATCTCCCCTATCCGTCCCATCTGAGAGTGGAATTAATTACAGTAAAAGCCTGCCCACCTGGTCAACCATCCCCCACTCATCCTTTTAGTCTCTGCAGGAACTGTTGCTGCTGATCAGAAGGGCTCCACTTAGCCACCTCCCCATCTCCCATCTTGCTTGCTCTCCAGCGACTGATGTCACTTAGCTGACACAGCAAAATCACCCTAGACGAAAAAACTTGCCACAGACCAAGTCCTTGGAGATATAAAAAGGAGGAGCAGCTAAGACGGAGAGTGGAGAGCTAGCTTGCAGCCAAAGGAATACGTCATATCAGAAGGAAAAGTGGGGACAGACACACATCCAGGGGAAGGCTGCCAGGAGATGCCACATTCTATAAGTGAGGGGTCTGGGTGTGTGAGACATTACGTCAGGCTGCCTCTAACATCAGGGAGGGACCAGCTTAGACCGATTCGACCTTAAGAAATCTGTACTTAATTGATATTGGATCAACCCGGTAAATGACAACTATTTCTCCTCATTAAGGTTGTATGAAGGGGAGTGTGACTTAAAGCTGGAGTTTACTTTCAAGTTTGGATGTGGCAAAAGTAAAGATTCTCTCAAGTGTTGTATTTAAAGTGCCTGGGGAAGTTTAGCTAAGATTTCAAGTTGTGAACCTATTAATGACTAAATTTCAGAGGGCTTTTCTCAGTACAACTTATTAAAGTACAGCCTGAAGGTTCATGAACCGTCAAGGACCCAAACCTGAAAAAAAAAAAATTATTAAAGGAAGCAGTTTAATGGTCATTTTGAAATTTCAAGTATGGCATTAATCACAGTTTCTTGTGAGCCAGAAAAGAGAAAAAAGGTAATCAATGACAACTGAAGGGAGAAAAATAAAAAAAGCCATTTCACCTCAAAATGTGGGTATTTCAGATTTTATAAAGTGGCCTTTTGTTGAGACTGACAGTATTTGAAGATGAGTGAAACCATTTCTGTAGCCATTACCTTTAAAACTAATCTCCCTTTAATCAGGATGAAAGTTGTGTCCAGTTTAAAAGTGTTGGATTTTGAGTTTTCAGTTTGAAATAAAACAATAAGAAACAAGAATGCCAACTGAAGTCAGAGATAGGTCTAGTATCTCTGTCACAGAAGTCACTCAAACCAAATTTCAACATCTAATATGGCTGCTGCACATAGAAAACAAAGTGTGTCCAAATTCAGGGGTTGCATACTTCGAAGGCCAATTACGTCACTGAATGAACGCTGTCTAAATCTGAAGATTAATACAAATACGATTCAAATCTAATTATATTCATATTTAGCGGTATAAACATTTAAAATTCAAAGAAGTTGTGTGGTTTGGCTTTTCTCATTGATGTAGATATGTTTTTAATACAATTTTTAATAAATAAAACAAACTGAAAACCAGACAATCCATACATAAAATTAAAAACAACAAACAATAGCAGGTATGTTTTTCAGGTCTGACTATGTAAAGCTATATAAAGAACATTTATTCTCAATTTGTCAAGTCTCTCTCAGACATTGCTATTTGCCTGTCTCAAGGTCACAGCATTTGTTTTTTTTATTATTATTTTTTTTTTGGTTTCAGCAAATATCCTGACACTTGTGTATTAAATCTTGGCCAGTGACTGTGTGATACAGTGTGTATTTGTGTTTTTCATTGTGAATATTCAAGTGGGTTTGAGTCTGCTTTCCAAGTGGCCACAGAAGCAGGACATAAAGCACCCTCTGAGCAACACTTCCTGTAGCTGGAACCACCAGTGATAAAGATGCAGCCAATACCAGTCACTGTACACAAGACACACTCCCAAAAGATAAAAATACAAA